GCAAGGAAAACTTTACAGGGGGGAAGACAACAGCATTTGTGTTTGTAGGTCATAGACGTGGATTTGTAGAATTTATGCAGACTAAAGAAGAGCCACAAACACTGGCTAAACAATATTTCATTGTCTTCCTCACAAGATACAAATTCCAACTCACCTATTTCAGATTTGAATGCATTCGGAGGAGCTTTACCACCATACCTCACTGCATGTAATACATAGCCCTATAAGAGAAGTCAGAGAATGAATCTTCCCTAGATTACCAGCAGTTCAAGTTATTGTACACTCTCCCTATCTTGGTTAGGTTACAAATGTGGTCAATTTACAATCAACTTGATCATGAGACAGTAACACCTCATGTCTGCATAGCATAATCAGCATATTATGTTTGTTTTTCTTACAACCAGCAGAATTACATTTTTTATAGGTGTTCTAGTTTTAAGGTTATGTGCCTGCTCACATTTCTGTAGTGATGTATATCACTGTATTGTAGCAGTAGTTTATGATGTACTTGTATGTCGTCCTGTATTTGGTCTTTATGTTCAGTGTAATCATTTTAATACCCCAGTGGAATTTTGAGTGTTTAAATAAATAAATCAACATAAAGAAAATGTACAATTTCCATACAAACTCCATGGTTCTCCATATGAATACTACCATATTGGTTAAAGGTATCACACCACTATTAGTCAAGCTGTATGTTTACTCCTATGAATCCACTCTGATATCTTTGTTGTTAAGCAGATTGTAAACCGTTATGGTTGCATTCATATGGAGATTAGGTATTGTGACGGTTTACAAGATTCTACCTACAACAGTGTGGTTTGTAATTTGTAAACGCACTACACTTACATGACAACTTGAAATGAAATGAACTAACAAACTTACCAGATCAGTTCCTACATATAGATGATTAGGATCTTTGGGTAGTAGCTGCATTTGAAATGCTTGTATCGCTGTGTTAACCTTCACATCTCTGTAAATAATATAAAAAATTATTATTGAGACCAGCACCATTTTGTACAAACATTGATTAGATTCACAGCATGGCCCTGTGTTAAAAATGCTTGAAATCAAAGATATTTTATAAAAAACTGTGAACGTGTTAATAACCATTACTCACCGGACTGGAGATATTAATTTCACATTGGAACTTTTTATAAGTTTAACTTTGCCGCCGGGAATGAGACCTGAATAGAATAAAAGAATGAGAAGAAAGATTCAAGATCACAAAATGCATAATACCATTTTCAGCTTAAATTAGTCTTATTCACATTTCTGATGTGCCAGGACAGCATGTCTGGTGAGAGTCTGGAGATGTGCATAATGTACAAATTATCAAAACTGACTTTGTGTTTTATTATTTACTGCCATGGCTCATTTTGGTGGCAGCATTTCTAACTTTATGTTGAATTACCATGAAATATATCAACAACATGAGATCACTGATGGCACGTGTGCATGACAACAAGTGCTATAACCTATAAAAATGGTCACACTATTCTGTCATCCATTTGTACTAACAGTAAGCCAAGATAAAAGTCTTCTTTGAGATAAAGACAACACTGAAAGACAGTAAACAGGTTAGTGTAGTTTCTATCATTGGTAGTAATCAGTAGTGTTAATGTATCTTACCTAAATCGGACTCAGAACCTGCTTTGTCTGGTTTGGATATTTCAACTACTGTCTAAAAATAGATAATAATTTGAATCAATATTATGCAATTATTTCAAATCATACATGTAAGACTCCTCAACCCACTTTCAAATCATACATGTAAGACTCCTCAACCCACTTTCAAATCATACATGTAAGACTCCTCAACCCACTTTCAAATCATACATGTAAAACTCCTCAATAATGTGTGCTGTAATAATCAAAAAACGAGAAGTTGAATAAATTTGAGAATAAGGAATCCTTGCAAATGGTAAACAGAATCTTAAAGCAGATTAAGAGATCACCCCATGCAGAGGTTGTCAGTTAGAAACCTTATGTTCATATTTTCTTCTACCAGTATAGCAGTACTTATTGTACACCATACCAGAAATTCAAAAATGCAATACACAGCACAGATTTACATGAAGAGAAGCGGACTATCGTACTTACTCAAATCTATTTCAAAGCGAGTAGTACCCTTACCTGTTTCACAGGATATTTTTCTCCTACCACCCCTTCCTCCTCATGCTAAGCCCAAAGGTTTTAATATGACTGATATCACTTACCCAAATCTGTTTTAAAGTGTGTGCCCTTATCCTGTTTCACAGGACATTTTGCTAACACCCACCCCCATTGGTTTGAATATGACTACTTACCCAGAAATTAATTATTGCTTGTTGTTCTACTGTTGCTAATTGGAATGATAAACCCGCTGTCTCATCTTGAAATAAACAAATACAAACAGTATGAATTAGTACTCGTATATTTTTCAAGACATGTTGAAGAGAACATGTACATATCTTGAAAATATGCAGAATTTTCAACTAATTGCATCAAGTACCATTTATAATGATGTTATAAAGTAAGTTTCACGATAATTTGCATGTATGAAAAGTATGGTGTGTAGATTTGAAGAACGGATCTCACCTCCAGAAAAGTTTGACATGAACACAATGTTACAGTGGTGATAGTATGGCCTGGAAACCGTAGTTATATAACTAAGACACCTCTAAATTAATGTCTGCATCATTTGTTATTAGTATTAATAGCAATATATGATTGTATTTTGAGGGATACACAGCTAAACATAGTTGAACTCTGGTGACCTTGCCCTTTGTTATATAATATAATTCCCTTTAACATATTTTGTTTCAATATAAATATGCATTGTCATAATTAATTTTGAGTACAAACAAGTTTTGGGGTTGAACCAACAGTGGGGAATCAGTCTACCGAATGTCCTTTAAGATGTAAATATCTTACAAAAACATTGGTGCCTTATTTGTTTAATTATTTTAAAAGACATAATTTCCAGCTTTATTCAAAGTAATTCAGATATTTTAGTATAAAAACAAATGCCTCATCGCAAAAAAAAAAGTGCTGCATTTAGATGTGAATAGATTCATAAAACATGCAAGATAACAGAAAATCTTAGCTGGCTTTTATCCAAGTATTTTGTACAGGTGTCTGTCAAAAATTAATGATTCACTGAGACAAATATGAACTGCCTCATTGTGTGACTACTGTATTATATGAAATGTAAAAAAAAAAACACCCTTTATGAATAGCTATCATGTTGCAAGCTCTGCTTTGTATGCAAATCAACTTAAATAGTTAGTTGGTGTCCAGTGGAGGAAGAAGTCAACAGTACTGTTGCCTCCTGAAAATCTACATCTTCAAACACTGCAATCTTTGAAGTGCGTTTTTAAACGAGTAATATAAAAACTCTATCATTCTGTTCTAATAGCTGAAACATATTCCTGTGAGTTTTCATTTGTCAAATAAACTGTTTGTCAAATACAGAATACATATATTTTAGAACAACTTTCTTTTTAAAATGTGGATGAAATGTTTTGCTTTTTATGTATTTTTTATGTATTGTTTTTGATTTGATAACTTTGAACTAAACAGATTTTCTATTAGCTTCAGATCTTGATCAAAGTTTGGCACCCAGTTCATAGGAGTGCTTATATTGATTTTCTGACATCTTGTTTTCTGTAAAGATTTTATTGGTAGGTTTGCAAATGTGTATCAGACTGTGCAATCTCTCCATGAGTTGGTTTTGAAACCCAGTATGGGATTCTGAGATACATTACCAAGGATATTATTACAAGATAAATCATTTGCTTCATTGAACACATACAACAATGCACATTACCACTGAGATGTGTATCACCAGTGATCAGTCAAGTAGAAACAGTCAAATTATGTTATCAGATTTTCTCAATTTTTGCATGATATTTTCATATAGACATCTGTTGTTCAACTCAGGAAGACTTTATACTGATGAATAAGTCACCAAGTTTGATGAAGTTTGGAATAGAATTAGTAAAGTTAT